TGGAGCACCCATCTTATTGCATCGGAAGACCGATGGGTTGCACATGGGAATAATTTGGGATACCCATCGGAATACATCGGGATCCCTACAGGGTGCAAGGGCAATTCAATGGCCAGGGGGTGTACCTATACCACTTCCTACTGCGACAGTGTGATCTCCACAGGCTCGCCTATTTGGAAGATCGCCATGCCACCACTCATCCAAGTGAGTGCAAGTTGCCCTCAGATCGTTCCCCTTGTCTCGTTCCCGTTCTCTCTCTATCTCTCACTCTCTCCCTCTATCTCCCGTCTCTCTCTCTCTCTCTCTTTATCTTTCTGTCCCTCTCTCTCTATCTCTCTGTCTCTCTCTCTCTCTCTCTTTCTATCCCTCTCTCTCTCTTTCCCTCTCTCCCTCTTCCTGTGTACATCTCTGGTCGCCCCCCCCCCACAGCGCCCCCAAACTACAAAAATCACAAAACCTTCAATGATCGTTCGCTCGTCGTCGTCGTCGTCATCCTCCTTCTCCTCCTCCTCCCCCTCTCCTCGAACGCCAGGAGAGCCTTGTCCACAGGCGTTCTCCCGAAATCATAGTTGTTTGTTGTTTGGGGTTTTCTGATGCGCGCTGTCGCTGTCGTTCGCAATTTCATTTGGATGCCCTTTTCACCACAGAAGACGCAGTTGTGTATCCTTGCTTCTGCGTCGCGGCGGGCTTGCTGCTGTCTGTTGTTATTCCTTGTTGGTAGGTCATTCGTGTTGTTCTGCCTTGCTTTTTTTATGTTGTGCGTTGCGTCGGTGTTCGTGCTCGCGAGGTAATATTAAAACATGTGATGCCCTTTCACCACAGTAGACACATATGTTTATCACTGCTGCGTCGCGGCGGGTTTGCCGCTGACGGTTGTTCTTTCTTGGTGGTAGGTTATTAGTGTTGTTATGCCTAGCTGTGTTGTTGCGCCGTTGTTTCTGCTTGGGGTCTTCTTGGAGCGTTCCTGGGCTGTCTCGGGGTCCTCATGGGGGCCTCTTTGGCCCTATTGTGGTGGTCTGCTGTTCTTCGCTGTTTGTTGTTCGCGTCCGCGTGCAACGCGTTGGCTCGGTGCGCTGTGCGACTGGCCCACGCACCACTTGGGGCGCGTTCTCGGCGGCCCCTGTTTGGCCCACAAGACGTGAGGAGGGACCAGGAGGATGAAGAGGAGCGGGAGGAGGAAGAGAATGACGATGAGGAGGATGCCCCCATGAGGGGGAGGAGGGACCAGGAGGATGAAGAGGAGCAGGAGGAGGAAGATAATGACGATGAGGACGATAACCCCGTGAGGGGGAGGAGGGACCAGGAGGATGAAGAGGAGCACGAGGAGAAACATATTGAATGACGATGAGGAGGATGCCACCATGAGTGGGAGGAGGGACCAGGAGGGTGACGAGGAGCAGGAGGGGGAAGAGAATGGTGAGGATAGTGCCACCCCCTCCCCCCACTCTGTCGTTTGGGGGTGCTGGGGGTGGGGGGGCAAGCACATATCGAAGACACCTACGGCGAATCACCGCCGCCCGCTGCCTTTTTGGAAGCGCCTATGTGGCCGAAAGTTGAGTCCAGACCTGCCAAGCTATCGGACCATGTGTTCACCGAATTGGTTTGGAACGTCTTCGGGGAACACGTGGACATCTTGAAGGTCATCTTGGCAGTGTGGAGGCCATGTTGACCCTTTCGGGCCTTTTTGGAGGACGTCTCGGAGGGCTCTTGGGCCATCTTGGAGGCCATCTTGAGAGTCTTGGAGGCCTCTTGGGCCGTCTTGGGGGCCTCTTGGGGCCGTCTTGGGCCTCTTGAGCGATCTTTGGGGGCACTTGGGCCGTCTCGGGCCGTCGGAAGGCCGACAAAAAGGCAAATGCCACAATCCTTCAATTACTCCGACGGTAGGACCCCGCATGAGAATCTGTTTAGCTTACCCTTTGCCCTTTCCTCCTCCCCCTGGCGGACACCCTCTCCCCTCGCCCCCTGCACTGCCCTCTCTTCCCCTTTCTATTTCTCTTCCTCCTCCTCGTCCTCCTCCTCCTCCTCCTCCTCATCCTCCTCCTCCTCCTCCTCCTCCTCCTCCTCCTCCTCCTCCTCCTCCTCCTCCTTCTCTCGCGCCACCTCCTCCTCGTCGTCGGCCTCCCCCATGCCCCTTCCCTCCTCATCCCCCTGCCTTTTCTCCATGTGCACCTCCCCTTCCCCCTCGCCGGGGCAAGCAAATCCATTTTCCTCAGCGCCGTCGCCGCCTCGGCCAGCGCGCGCGCGTCTGCCGACGGCTAGATCGCGAAGCCGTCGGGGCAAACCTTCGGGCTGGGCCGTAGGCTCCCGCTCGAGACTTCCTCCATACTCAGGTCTCAAAAGCCCAAAAGTGACGACAGTTGCACGTTGCGGTTGACCCGCTCGGATTCGAACATGAAATGCGGGCCCCATAGGGAGGGGGCTCCCGCCTGAGACTTCCTCACAATTCACTCACAGACGAGGCTCCCGCTCGAGACCCCCTCCATATTCAGGTCTCAAGAGCCCAAAAGTGACGACAGTTGCACGTTGCAGATGACCCGCTCGGATTCAAACATGAAGTGCGGGCCCCATAGGGAGGGGGCTCCCGCTTGAGACTTCCTCACAATTCACTCACATACGAGGCTCCCGCCTGATACTTCATCGATATTCAGGCTTCAAGAGCCCAAAAGTGACGACAGTTACACGTTGCTGATGACCCGCTCGGATTCGAACATGAAGTGCGGGCCCCATAGGGAGGGGTTCCCGCCTGAGACTTCCTGACAATTTACTCACAGACGAGGCTCCCGCTCGAGACCCCCTCCATATTCAGGTCTCAAGAGCCCAAAAGTGACGACAGTTGCACGTTGCGGATGACCCGCTCGGATTCGAACATGAAGTGCGGGCCCCATAGGGAGGGGACTCCCGCTTGAGACTTCCTCACAATTCACTCACAGACGAGGCTCCCGCCTGATACTTCCTCAATATTCATGCCTCAAGAGCCCAAAAGTGACGACAGTTACACGGTGCGGATGACCCGCTCGGATTCGAACATGAAGTGCGGGCCCACTAGGGAGGGGGTTCCCGCCTGAGACTTCCTCACAATTCACTCACAGACGGGGCTCCCGCCGGATACTTCTTCCATATTCAGGCCTCAAGAGGCCAAAAGTGACGACAGTTACACGTTGCGGATGACCCGCTCGGATTCGAACATGAAGCGCGGGCCCCATCGGGAGGGGGCTCCCGCCTGAGACTTCCTCGCAATTCACTCACAGACGAGGCTCCCGCTCGAGACTTCCTCCATATTCAGGTCTCAAGAGCCCAAAAGTGACGACAGTTGCACGTTGCGGATGACCCGCTCTGAGACTTCCTAGCAATTCACTCACAGACGAGGCTCCCGCCTGATACTTCCTCCATATTCAGGCTTCAAGTCAGCGAGTAGTGATGATGATGATGCTGATGATCGTTCGATGCCGATGATGGTGAGTGATCGTGCGATGGTGATGGTGTTGCTGATGGTGATGATGATGATGATGAGTGGGGAGTGATGGTGATGGTGATGATGATGCGGAGGAGGAAGCAAAGAGGAGCAGAGGAGAGGGAGGAGGAGGAGGAGAGATCCTGCGCGGAGGGTGTGCAGAGAAAACAAGAACCCCACTTAGGATGTGGGGACAAACTTTTGGGACATCAGTGATTTTGGCCCTTTTCGGCCCTTCCTGGAGGCCCTCTGGGGAGCCTCTTGGGCCGTCTTTGGGCCATCTTCTGCCGTTTGGGTGGGCTCCTGGCCCGTCCGACGCCGTCGGAAGCCGTTTGGGGGGCAGTCTTGGGCGTCCTGGGCGCCTCTGAGGCCGTGATGGAGCCGTCGTGGGCCGTCTGCGGGCCGTCTGCGGGCCCTCTTGGGGGCCGTCTTGGGGCGCTCTTGTGGGCGTCTTGGGCCGTCTTGGAGCGTCGGGAGCTCGAAAAGTCGAGGACCCTAAAAACGCGAAGAAACCTGAGGAGCATAAATGATGTTGGCCTCTCGGGATCCCTTTGGGAAGGCTATCGGGGCTCTCTTGGCTATCTCGAAGGCTTCTTTTCTGCCGGTTAGAGACCGTCTTGGGCGTCTTGGACCAATCGCGCGGCGACTCGGGGCCCATTTGGACCATCTGGGCGGCCTCTCTGGGCCCTTTTGGGCCCGTCTCAGGGCCCTCTTGCCGAACAAGTTTCGCGACAGGATGCGGTAAACCCAAGGGCCACGCGACGTGCCCCATGAGATTTGGCGATTTGGGGTCCGGGCCCTTTGGCAAGAATCCTCAGGATTGACCACTGAGGCTCCAGCGGATGCAACAAGAGACCTGATAACACTCCAACTCGTGCCTCGAGGGCACGGTGGCGGATACAGGTGTGTAGATCTATGTGTATACATATCTAAAAGTATTTAGATGTGTCTCTCTCTATATTTATATATACATATATATATATATATATATATATATATATATATATATATCCTTCTCTCTCTCTCCCTCTCTCCGTTATTATCCCTCTCTCTATATCGGCCTGTCGGTCTACTTAAGTAGACCTGTCTCTACATCCCTCACTTCCTCTCCCTCCTTTCCTCACTGTCTCCCTGTGTTCATAACGAGTTCCTTTACACACATCGTGCCTTTGCGGAAATCCTACACTTGAAGGTGGCAACTTGCAACTTGAACCAATGGGCCATGGACTTCGAGGGGAACCTGGAGAGGATCTCCGAGTCCATCAGGGAGTCAAAGATGCAAGGCGCCAGGTTCCGCACAGGGTCCGAGCTAGAGATCACGGGCTACGGGTGCGAGGACTCCTTCTTGGAGAACGATACGTTCTTGCACGCCTGGGAGTGCTTCGCAGCCTTGCTCAAGTGCGATCTGACCGAGGGGATTCTCTGCGACATTGGCATGCCCGTAATGCACCGCAATGTGCCATATAATTGTCGTATTTTTTGCCTCGACAGGAAGATAATTGGAATCCGACCCAAAATCTGCCTCGCGAACGACGGCAACTATCGAGAGATGCGGCATTTCACCCCATGGTATATTGACCCGAGCAAACCAGGCTTCGGGGAGATCGAGGAATATTTCTTGCCGCCTGTGATCCGCGACATCACAGGGCAGGCCAAGGTCCCCATCGGAGTCTTCGCAGTGGCCACCCGCGACACCACCGTGGCTTGCGAGACATGCGAGGAGCTATTCACGCCGAAGGCTCCGCACATTCAACTCTCGCTAGACGGCGTCGAGATTTTTGCGAACGGCTCCGGGAGCCACCACCAACTCAGGAAGCTCGACAAAAGAACATCTTGCGAGGAGGAAGACGAAGAACGATGAGCAGGGGGAGGAGATGCAGAGTAGGACGAGGAGCTTGACAAACGAAGGGTGGAGTAGAAGGACAACAGTGAATGGTGGCAATTGGCGCCTGAAGGTCTTGAAGATCTGAGTTGTGGAGGTACGTTGGCACCCCTCCCTTCGGCCGTCTTCGTTGGCCGAGGGACCGTAGGGAGAGCCTCGGCCCCCTCTATTGGCAACTGACGCCGTAATGTATTTGTGCATTGGTGGGAGAGGGCGACCCAAGCGACCCCTATGATGGCAGCCGCAAGGGGTGTGAGGCCTCTGATGGTCCTCACTGGTGAGGCCTATGATGGTCCTCACCGGGGTGGGGTGGGGAAGAGCGTAGGAAGGTCGAAGCGGATGTCCGACAGCAACGTCCTGCGGGGAAATTTGAAAGGGCACGTCAAAACAAACAATGAACATACACAGATTTCGCACATACGATGCTATGCCTCACGCACCCCACAGCACGGCACTGGTGGGAGCCAGCGTGTTCAGGCAAGGCTCTGCCGGAACGTGCTGCGCACATTGCCGAACAACTAAGGCCCGTCCAGACCGTTACTCGATAAAGCCGACGCGGCAAAACGGGGAGACGTCTTCCAGTCACTTGAGCTTTTCTATCAGCTCTGGTATACAGTGCCGTTTTAATGCATGCTCCGCGTGCGGATCATATATTAAAAATGCAGGGATTCAGTATTGAAAATGATTCCAGTGCGACCCAGGAAAACAACATTAGTAGGAGCGGTAAACGCCGTCCTCCTTCTTCTTCTCATCGTCGTAGTTGTATCAGCTGTAGTAGTAGTAGTAGTAGTAGTAGTAGTAGTAGTAGTAGTAGTAGTAGTAGTAGTAGTAGTAGTAGTAGTAGTAGTAGTAGTAGTAGTAGCGCCAGAACCGCCGACGCCACGCCGTGAGTGAAGCAGCAGCAGAAGCAGGCAGCAAGTCGCCGAGACATGCTATGATATGCTCTGCTCTGCTATGCTATGCTATGCTATGCTATGCTATGCTGCGCAATGCTATGCTGGGCTAGGCTAGGCTTGGCTATGCTATGCTATGCTATGCTGCGCTATGCTATGCTGCGCTATGCTATGCTATGCTATGTTTTTGCTTTGCCTTCGCTTTTGCCTTCACACTTGCCTTCACTTTTGCTTCTGCTTGGCACCCAGGGAGCGCAACTGGGGAACCGCGCGTTTGCTTTTACCTTTGCTGTTGCTTTTGCTTGGCTCCCAGGGGACTGGGGGAACCGCCCGGGGCGGTTTGCACTGCCCGGCCCCTGTAAGCCAAGCGAGTAAGAACCCTTCTAGGCAGAGCCTAGGTAGGGAACAACGATGAGTTCATGCATAAATTCATTCATAAGTTAATCATGTATCAAAAATCCAATAGTTAAAACAAATCATATGTGTTAAAAACTGCCCTGTAGGTAATTTTCCCCTGGAGCCCGAAGTCAGAACTCTGGCGAGGGGGGGCAAGACTTCTCCGCCCGCCGCCCCTCCGAGGCAGAGGCCTCCGAACCGCTTCCGGCTACTCATGCCGATGCTGAGCCGATGCCCCCTTGTCCCACAAGCGGAGTCAGGAGGGGAAAAAACACACAGACACAATTAAGCGTCGCCTCCCAGGAAACTATGGGAAAATATGGGAAGTGGGGGGAAGACAAAAAAAACAGAAAATATGGGAAAATATGGGGAATCGGGTTATTTGTGTCTATCTATTTGTGTGTGTCCCAGTTCCCCTTCACGGAGGCCTGCAACGGTCCTGGCAGGGAAACCTGAAGGAGGAAGGTGAAGAAGCAAATCTGCTCGAGGGGGCAGTGGGGGGAAAGGGGAAGGAGGGGAAGAGCAAGAAGCAGAACAAGGAGCTGACCAAGGGGGGGGCAGCGCAGGCGAGGAGGGGGGGAGACGAGGACGCGGGAGAGGCGAGGGGCGGAGGAGGAGCAGGGGGGGAAGAAGAGGGAAGGGGGAGGGGAAAAGAGCGAAAAGGAGGGCAAGTTGGGGGGGGGAAGGAGGAGGGGAAGGGAGAGGGGGAGGGGAAGGGGGAGAGGAAGGGAGCGAAAAGGAGGGGAAGGGGGAGGGGAAGGGAGCAGGGGGGGAAGGACGGGCAAGTTGGGTTGGGGACGGCAGGTGTTGACGTGCCCCAGCCTGCGGGGTACAGTCCTTGAGGTGCTCGGGTAAGGTGTGGGGAGCGGGAACGACCACACGAGTGACGCCACGGCGGCACACGCGACGCCGCGGCGGCACGGGAGGAGTGGCAGAGAGAAGGACGAGTGGGAGTGGCAGAAGGAGGACAGAGGTGCATGAGCAGTAGAAGGAGGGATGCGCCGCCAATTCAGGAAGCTCGACAAGCGGATCGACCTCATCAAAGGAGCGACTTCGAAGGCGGGGGGCGTCTATCTTTACGCCAACCAGAAGGGCTGTGACGGCGGCAGGCCCAGAGGGGAGGAAGAGGAGGAGGAGGAGGAGGAGGAGGACGACGAGGAGGGGGAGGGGGAAGGGGAAGAGGAGGGGAAAGGAAGAGGAGGAGGAGGAGGAGGAGGAGGAGGAGGAGGTGGAGAAGTGCTGAAACTGCGGCAGGCTCTACTTCGACGGGTGCTGCATGGTCTGGGTGAACGGTGAACTTGTTGCCCAGGGCTCGCAGTTCGGGACGCTCGACGAGGTCGAAGTCGTGGTTGCCACGGTCAATCTGTCTGACGTGCGCGCCATGCGCAGCAATTTCGTTGCGCGCAACCATCAGGCGTCCAGTGCTCCCAGCATTCACCGCATAGAGGTTGACTTCACCCTCGGGGATCCCAACCCCTTGTCTCTGGCTGTCTCGCCGATCCTCAAGCCTAGGATACACGATCCCATGGAGGAGATCGCGTTCGGGCCCTCGGCGTGGCTGTGGGATTACTTGCGCCGGTCTGGAACTCGTGGCTATTTTTTGCCCCTGTCAGGGGGCGCCGACTCTTCGTCTACGGGCACACTGGTCGCAATCATGTGCCAGCGAGTGGTGGACGAGCTTCAGAGCGGATCCGAGCGAAGCAAGCGGAAGACCCTGGAGGACGTGCGCAAGATCACCAGGCGGCCAGACTACACCCCAGCCGACGCCAAGGATTTGTGTGGTAAGATATTCGTGACCTGCTACATGGCTTCCCAGTACAGCGGCGACGAGACGCGCGGCCGTGCTAAGCAGCTAGCAGAGGACATCGGCGCCATCCATACGTCCATCTTCATCGACGACATTTGTTCCGCCATCAAGACGACGTTCAAGAATGTTGAGATACACACAGACAAGGTGGACAAGAAAAGGATGAAGACCGAACCGAAGATCGAGAACCCTGGCATGGAGAATCTGGCGCTTCAGAATATCCAGGCCAGGAGCCGAATGGTAATGTCATACTTCATGTCCCAGCTCATGCCATGGGCCACGGACGGCGACCAGACGACCGCAGGTGGCTCTCTCCTCGTCCTGGGCTCGGCCAACGTGGACGAGGCCCTGCGTGGCTATTACACGAAGTACGACTGCAGCGCCGCTGATATCAACCCCATTGGGGGCATCAACAAGCGTGATCTGAAGGACTTCCTCATGTGGGCCGGTCGCAATCGAGGCATCCCGGTCCTCCAGCGCGTGGCCGAAGCTGCGCCGAGTGCGGAGTTGACGGGCGCCGAGGGAGTGCAGAGCGACGAGGTGGACATGGGCATGTCGTACGACGAGCTGGGCGACCTGGGCGTCTGCCGCAAGGTCCACAAGTGCGGCCCCCTGAGCACATTCCTGAAGTTGCGCGACATGTGGAGCGACGGCAGGCGAATAAGCCCCTCCATCCGTAAGCGCAAGCAGCCCGAGAGCCGCGACGAGGAGGTGGCTCAGAAGGTTAAGGATTTCTATTTCTACCACGCCATCAACCGGCACAAGATGACCACGCTGACCCCTTCCTACCATGCCGAGAATTACTCGCCAGACGACAACCGCTTCGATCTGCGGCCCTTCCTGCAGAAGCCCAGCTTCGACGTCCAGTTCAAGGCCATAGACCGCGCGGTGGCCACTGCGGCGTCAGCCGCGGCATCGTCAAGTGTCTCAGGGGCCGCCTCCTGACTGCCCTGAGCGCAGCATAGCAGATGTCGAAAGGGGGAGGACCTTACCGAGTTGGGAGGACGTACGCCGCACAGACCTTTTTGGCGTGGCCTCCTGGGTGACAGTCGCTCTTGGCCTCCGTGCAGATGGCGCAGGCGATCGTTTCATATGGTGTAGGCATTCGCCCTGGCTTTCACTCGCCGACCAGCGCCGCCTCAAGATCACCTCCGTACTTGCTTTCTTTGTGCTCCTCGTCCCCCTCCTCTCGACCCCCCTTTCTCCCCCGTCCTGTTCATCATGGTTCCTCCTCCCTCCTCCCCCCCTTCTCCTCCCTTCCCACTCCTCCCCTCCTCCCTCCCCCTTGCTCTCTCTTCCTCCTTCTCCACCTCCCTCCCTTCCTCCCTCCCTCCTCTTTGCTCAAGGAAGCGATTGATAGCAGACCCCTGTTATTGTGCTCGATGTGTTTTGCAATGGGCCCCAAAGTTGGCCGGCATAGTGGCAAGCCAACAGAACTAGCAATGATCATGACATGTAAATTTCTCTTTAGCGACGCAGTGACCGATGATAAATGGTAGATCTCAGTTTGGCTAGTTGAAAATATGGATGCCAACATGCGCATATCAACAGAGTTGTTTAATCGAAAAGCACGAGTAGCACGCATCGGGGATAAGGTTTCCGAATGCACGGAACACACTGAATAATCAAATGCGAGATGCGATGTATAACCAGTTGTACCATACGAGATAGCGGGGTGCCAAAACATAGTGCAAGACGCAGTTAAACCATGCCAGCAGCTTGCCACTTGCGTCATGGACGAAGTCTCAATTTCTTGTCAGATCGGAACAGTCAGAGGCACATGCGTTCGCCAGCAGAGTTGGCACATGCTCGACCAAGCTGGTTGGGATTGAACATGCCATACGACATCAATTCGATGTCGTGCATCATCGTTCCAACGCCGAATATGCTTCAAACGAAAGTGATGACGATTATTGTGAGGATCGCTCGAACCCCAGAAAAGAACTATGGCCACAGCAGTGGCGAACAAACAGTGCAATCGGAGACGCCCTCAAACTCATTCTGGCTTACAGGTGTGGGAATCATTTCAGAAGAAACGTTTGAGCAATATTGCAATGGAGCGATTCGAAACAAATCATCTCCGCGAAGGTGCCATGTTCGTTCTAGCGCACAGAGACACAGCAGTTATTTCAGTGGTGCAGGAAGCTGATGGCAGAGTGTCCCGAGAAACCTGCGACAACATGGTCCAGAGCAAAGTTCGAAGATCATTACGGCGACATGCACCGAGACCTCTACATGGAGCACCCGGGGACTCCTGATTAAAGTACGGCACGTTCGTCATGATATTCCGCGCGATCTTGTTCATCGTTCCAGACACGATGTGCGTAATCCGCATGTTCTGAACACTACGTGAGGCATCTGATCAGAGTGAGGGGGCCGAACGGTCTTTCATTGTCCCTGGGTGCGTGGCTGAAGTGGGCTTCCGCAGTGCGGAGTGTTGTTGTTGTTTGTTTGCTTGTTTGTTTGTTTGTTTGGTGATCTGCTTGGTTGTTGTTTCCTGTTTGGTGGTTGTTGTTTGTTGTTTGTTGTTTATTGTTGTTGTCCGGCCCGCGACCAGGCCCACGACCCTACCCGCGACCCACCCCCGACACCCCCCGCGACCCCCCCCGCGACCCATCCCGCGACCCACGCGCGACCCATCCCGCGACCCACGCGCGACACATCCCGCGACCCCAATTCGCGAGCCACCCGCGACCCACCCGCGACCCGCCGCCGGCGACCCACGCGCGACCCACCCGCGACCCACCCGTGACCAACCCCGCGACCCACCCGCGGTTTGCCCGCGACTCACTTGCGACCCACCTCGCGCCCGTCCCCTCAATCTTATCCGCAACTGCTCGCAGGCGATTTCTCTCCCCCAATCCCCGACTTCCGCCAGAAAAGTTTGGTCGCTCAGAAAAGGGGAGGAATCTTGGGATACATCCCGAGGGGGCTATTCGGACGCACTGTCGAGGATGGACGCCCCCCCCTCGTATATCCCAGGGTTGGGCCCCAAATTGTTGATCCTCTCGAAAACCTCACGGAGCCTGGGATAGGGGTCGACGCATCCCCTGTTAACTGCGGGGTGCTGCATGTTGCCCCGATGTCGGCACCAGCGGAAGAGCCGAATGTCTGGTTCGGGGACTGTCCATCCTTTCGGGGCCCTGGGCCCCCCCCACTTGTCGCTCGACTGCTTTCCGCCCCCGTCCCGCCACATCCGATCCTGTTTCGACACGTTCGCCCTACACCTTGGGCGATGCTTAAGAAAACCTAAATTTTCGGCCAGAGTCTCGATTATTCTTAACCTTTCAATGTAAATCCTAAGCTTTGAATGGATTTTTGGGTTTTTTTATTCAACTTCTGAGACTATGAATTTCTCAACCCATGATTTCTTAAGCATTTCGCAGGGTGTACATTGCCGCACGTTTTTCAGCTCCAGTTCCAGAGCCCGGCGCCACTGCGCCGGGGCTCCGCCCCACGCGGGGCCGCGCCCTGGCGCCCCTCGTTCTCCCTCGCCCCCTCTCCTCCCTCCTCCTCCTTCGCGCCGTCTCCCTCCGCCCTCCTCTTTGTTCCCTCCCTCCCTTCCCTGTGCTGTCTTCCATCTCCCTCCGCCACGTTCGCTGCTCACTGCACCTGTGCTCCTTGCTCCTCCCGCCTCCCCCCGTTTTCCCGCCTCCTCCCTCCTCCTTCCCCTCCTCCCTCATCCTCACACTCCTTCTACTTGCCTCCTCCCCCTCCTGCTGTGTTCCTCTCTTCCCTCCTCCCTCTTCATTATCCTCTCTCGTCTCCTGCTACTCCTTCTCCCCCTTCTTCCCTCCTCTATCACACGGGCCCAAAGGCAGGAGCGAGACGGCACCTGGATCAAGGCTGAGATCTCCGTGCGCGCAGGCCCTGGCCCGCGCCCGCCGCATAGGCTAGCGCCCAGGGCAGTTTCCCACCACGCTCGCCATGGGCAAGGGGCGCGAGTTGGACATGCTTGCCGCATGAGCCGTAACCATCAAGCAGGCCACGCGCTTCGACACCGAGGATTGGCTGCCGAGCGAGGCTGCAGCTCACCTGCCGCTGGCTGGTGACGGTGCGCCCCACTCGGAGCCGCTCACTCCCGGAGCAGATTGGTCCCTCGGTTCGGCATCGGACCATCCCCGCTGGGCCCTGCGAGCCAGCGCCATCGGTATGCCTTGCGCCCCCCCCCCCCTCCCCCACTCCTCATCACCCCCCTGATCCTGCGCGAGCTACGGCGCCTCCCTGGCGCGCCGGGTTGCCCGCGGAGCCCCGCCGACGAGCGACGCGCGCAGGCCGCGCGAGCTCGTGCGCGCACGCTGCCCCTGTCGTGTCTGCTTGCGAGCTGTCCTCGGCCGTGGAGCGCAGGATTGGCCCCTGGGGGGGCTGCGGCCCCGCCTTGCTCGGCGCTGCCCCGGCGGCGCCCCCCCCTCAGATCCCGCCTAGATTTACGTTGTTCCCATCCTACTTAACTTGAAGGCAAATAATCTCGCAGAAATAATTTGCCTTCTATCGAGCAATAATTTGCCTTCTATCTGCACAATAAGGACCACATCCCAGAAATGATTTCGAGCACCCCGAAAAAATGTCAAAAGAGTGTCGAAACGGTGTCGAATTCAGTGTCGGGCGAGTGTCTCCCAGGGCCCGACACGTGAAGACCCTTGAGTTCCGGTACTTTTTTGGGCGCTCGAAACTCTTCCTGGCGATCAAGGCTAAAGTAGGTTGGAGCATCATAAGCCTAGATCCCAAGGGTCCAAGGGCCACGTCGTCCTGGCCATCATGATCCCGACCGCGCGGCCGGCCGCGTTGGCGGCGCCTTCGCACGGGCGCGGGCAAGCTCAATGGCATGACCAAAAGCAGAAGCATCGGCCCGCATCAGGACGCCCGTGTCGCGGTGGACAGCAAAGTCCTCCCCGAGGTGGCGCAGTGCGCGACGGCCGCGCGCGGACCGTGCGCAGGCCGCCCTGGCTTACAGCTTCGCCGCCAACGGCGGCATTGGCGAGGTTCAGGTTCAGGATCGGATGTCGATAGTACCCCCACCCTGCCAAGTCGACTGGCGAATTGCCCAGGTTCGGTTCTCGAGAGGGCGTTGCGGCCACATTTTGCGGGCCTTCTCCCGCCGGGTCTGGTCCCCGGTCGTTTTCACTAAATGATGTTCTGCTCACCCCGAGGGGACGCCGCTAGCCTTGCTACCGAGGCTATCGAGCCAGTAGTGGGGGCGCAGGCATGCTCCGTCCATTTCCGGCGGCCGCGCTCAGCACCGCCGGCACGGACGGGCCGCGGACAGTGGGCCGAGCGGACCAATGTTTGGACGAATGGAGCCCCCACACCGTTGTCCGCCAGTCTGCTTGGCGCCTCCATGGGCGCCATCTCGGGCTCGATCCCTGCCCGATGCCGTCGTCGCTCGTCTGCGTCGCGTCGCGTCGTCATTTCACCGTCCTCGTTCGTAGCATGCGTTCGCTTCTCCGCTCTGGACATACCAGTTCCAGAATCCTGAAGTCCCTCCTGGTCCTCTTCCTGATTATCTCGGGGGCTCCACATCTCGCTGACCAGCCTCTCCGTTGCATGACGAGGTAGTGGAAATGGAGATTGCGGGGCCTCCTCTTTCTGATCCTCTTCGTCGGCATCCCCTTCCCCATGCGCACTCGTCGTTCGCCCGCTTTCCCTCCCCCGCGCACGTACACGCAAAGACACACACACACGCTGTTTCCTCCACAGGCGATGTGGCACCAGTTGAGAGATAAGCCACACGCGCGCACACATACACCTATCACCCGCTGGCATCATGACACAACAGTCGCGAGCCAAATAGATTCTGGGCGCGTGCACACAAATTGCACTCAGCGCTGTGGATGGAGCGGCCGGTTCAGAAAGCTTCACACACACACACACACACGCACGCACGCACGCACGCACGGACACACACACACACACACACACACACACACACACACACACGTATTGTTCGGCATCGCGTTGCGCGTCATCCTCGAGGTTTCCATTTTGCGATGGCAGTCGGAAGAATTGGAAGGGGAAGCCGCGCGCAAGCGCCCAGCAGGACGGAAACAGCCTCGAAGGAGCATTAAACGCCTTGGAGACGACCTCGGCGCCTTCCTTGCGGATAGCAAACAATACACACAATATGTGAGTGCTCGCGTCGCTTCGCTTCAATATTGTTCCTGAGCCCGTGTGCCCGACGATGACGCTAATGGGGACCGTGGACCGAACTTGTCTTCAATGTGGGCCCATGGCCCAGGATGGTTCCCATAGGCCGAATGTGGTCCTCAGGATGGCCCCCTCGGCCGAAGATGGTTCCGAAACTGGGTGTGTCTTGAAGGCCCTCTTGGGCTCTTGGGGTCTTATGGGCCGTGGTGGTGCGTGAAGAGGAGGAGAAGGGTGACGAGTTGGAAACGAGCGTGCCAGCAGAAGGAGGCGCCATTTCTCGACCCCGCCTCAAGCGGAGAGCATACATTTACCGACCACAGTGCCGCCAGAGCAGCCGCCTCGAACTGTTGCGGGGGCGTGGGGCTTGGCAACAAACGTATAGGAAGACCAGGAGGGGAAGGTGGAGAAGGACCAGGAGAAGTTGGGAACTTGAAGGATGAGGAGGCCAAGTAGATAAGCAGAAGAAGGAGGAGAAGAAGAAGACGCATGCGTTCCCAGGATGGCTTCATTGGCCAACTCTGGATTCAAGATTTGGTGTTTCTGGGGAGCCTCTCGGGGTCTCGGGGTGATCGGGGGAGGTCTTAGTGGTCTCTGGGAAGCGGTCGTGCCCTTTCCTTGGAAAGCTTTAGGAGGCCTTAGGGGGCAATGTTGGGAGGGCCTGGGCCGTATTTGGGTTTCGGGGGGCGCTCTTGGGCCCCTTGAGGGCCGTCTGAGGGGTGTTCGGGCAGTCTTGGAGCTTCCGTCTGTTATTTTGAAGTAATCTCGGGAAACTCGTGGACGTGTCTGGACGCGCAGAAGCCCGGTCAGGCGAGCGTGCAAGAACCAAGGAAAAGTCGCATTATGTTTTAAATTCGAGGTATGAATATATATATATATATATATATATATATACTATATGTGTGTGAATGTCTGTATACATGCATGCATGTATGAAAGCATAGAAGCCTGCATCCATGCATGTATGTCTACATGCATGTATGGATGCATGCATGTATATGTGTATGCACATACGTGTGGATGCATGTGTGTATGCATGCATGTATGCATGTATGCATGTATGCATGTATGCATGTATGGATGGATGGATGGATGGATGGATGGATGGATGTGTGCATGCACGTATGCTTTCACGTACATGTGTATGTACGTATGTATGGCTGTATGGATGTATGGATGCATGCATGTATGTTTGTATGCATGATTGCATGCATGTATGTACGAATTTGTATATGGATGTGTGGCTGTATGGTTGTATGTGTGTACGTATGAATGGTTGTCTGTATGTATGCATGCATGCATGTATGTATGCATGCATGTGCGTGCTTGTCTATATATATATATGCATGTATGTATGTATGTATGTATGTATGGATGGATGGATGGATGGATGGATGGATGGATGGATGGATGAATGGATGGATGGATGGATGTGTGTGTGTGTGTGTCTGGCGTCTCCGTGTCCCGTGCATGTCGGAGCACTTTGGGGACACTCTGGGCCAGTTTGGCGCGGATTTGGACGATAGCCTGGCCAGGTTGGCCGTCTGAGGACCACGTGGAATGGCTAGAACAGGTTGTATTCGTGCCGCCAGGACAGGATCTCGGGGCAGCCGGGAGCCACACGGGCCATCCGAGGGGGGTCGTGAGATCACGCCAGGGGGAGAGGTACCCGCGGGGGGGGGGAGAGGCAGGATATATTCCTATAAGCGTATTCCACGCACAGGCGCGGCGTGCCGGCTCCAGAGGCCACCCTACGATCAACGAGCGGAGGTCTCGGCCAGGCGAGAGTGAAGGACCCAACCGCTAGCAAGGACGGAACCTTCAACGCAAACACATGTGGTCCTTCTCTTCACACTCCTCTACATGTTCCTCCTTCTTGTCATCCTCCTCTTCCTCCCACCTACCTCCATTGATACTCCTCCTCATCCTCGTCGTCGTCCTCCTCCTCCTCCTCCTCCCCGAAGTGTTCCTCCCCCTCCTCCTCCCCCTCCTGCCCCCCCTCTTCCTCCTCCTCCTCCTCCTCCTCCTCCTCCTCCCCCTCCTCCTCCTCCTCCTCCTCCTCCTCCTCCTCCTCCTCCTGATCATCATCATCATCATCATCATCATCATCATCATCATCATCATCATCATCATCATCATCATCATCATCATCATCATCATCATCATCATCATCATCATCATCATTTCCTATTATCCTCTTTCTCCTCTCCCTCCCTCACCTCCTTGTCCGGCCCCCCCGCACCTGGCGTCAGGCCGATTGCGCGTAATGCCGGGCGAATGGTCGCCCTCGTCCTGGAGGGCGCTGGAGGCGAGCCAGATGGCGACGTGGGAGGAGCCTGGGCCGCGCCCGCCGCGGAGGAGGAGGACGAGGAGGCAGACGACGACGAGGAGGAGGAGGAGAACGACGACGACGAGGCGGAGGAGGAGGACAAGGACGAGAACGTCCGTGGTTCGAGCCATTCTGGCTCAAGGGAACCTGGTGAAGCTTAAGTAACGAAGCGCATCCGAGATTAGTTTGGCCTGTGTCCGCAGCCGGCCCGTGGAGCTGGCACCAGGCCTTTATTCAGGGCACCATTCGACGCCCACTGCAGAGAGTGGGCCTGTTCCTTCTTGTTTTTTGGGTGCTCGATCCTAGTGGCTGGGGCCTCTACACCCCGAGCGAAAGAACTTTGGAGCCATGGCGGCAGCAGCGGCGAGTGACATGGGTTGATCGGGGACCCCGCGGAAGCGAAGTGGAGGACCACTTCATCGTGAAGGCCCACTGGGTGCCGAGAGTGCCAAGGACTACGCAGGTGAGGTTAGGGTGGAGATGCGATCACGGATCGACGCGAACAGGCGCTGGGTGACATTGCGGGGGCAGAACGAACGATCAACGACGCGCTCAGCCAGGTATCATCTCATGTCTCGCCGTCGTGCACGGCAATCTCGACGAAGCTGGAGGCACGGATTGTGCCTGTGAAACATGACGTGCTCGCACACGGCCAACGGCTGGCGACGCTCGAGGCGGACTACACGGAACTGCGTCAGGCATTCAATGTGGCGCGCAGTGACCAACCAGCACCAGTACTTCGTCCAGTCCAGGGGCAAGGATTTACTCGTGAAGTGGATCCATGCACCACCATGGTACGCGAGAAGCTCCAGGTGGCTTAGGACGTGACGATGCATGCGTTGTCCCAGTGGATGGCCGACGCGAGCGTCCCGCAGGGCGAGCGGCAGATCGAGGGCGAGCCGACCTCGAAGAAATTCAACATACGCATGGGCGGAGCGATTAGCTTCGCGAGCACACGGGCCCACCATGCACGTACTATCCTACGGCTTGCGGGACCTGGCGGACAGTGGAGGCGTTTCACGGCTCTGTCGGTCACTGGAGAGGTGTGCGAGCACAGCGTGGGGGGGGGACAAGAAGCAGTGTCTCTTGCAGCGCTGCTACCCACAACACACCTTGTACGTTGATAAAATCGAGGGGTGCGTCTCGACGAACTGGAAGCCGATCCGCCACATCTCACCGGCGGATGGCCAGGACATCCCAGAGTTCAGATTCGCGGCGTCCAGAATGGCAGCTGCGAACATCGAGAGGAGCGCGATCGAAGTCCAGCTCAAGGCCGAGCCCACGACCAGCAACGGAGCCCCACAGTGGAGTCTTTAGCAGCGCGTGTGCGCCCTGAGGCGGCACGCGCAAAACATATACTCCCTTCCGAATGGCAACTTGGAGTGCTGGCACACTCCTTCATCATGTACCTGGTCACCGATTTCCCGAGCTTCAATTATTTCAATAAGCTGCATGTCCCGATTGCTGTTTAAGAGGTGCACGGCACCACAGCCGAAGTCTCAGATGTCTTGCACCAGAATAGTATGAACCCTCCCTTCCCTCGCATCGTGTATGCCCTTCGTTCCTGGACGCGTTCTTCGTGTTCGTAGACATGCTGAGAATTCATGTGCTTTCGTAATTCACTCTGAGATTCATGCTCACGGTTTCTCTGGCTAAGCTACACACTCTTTCTCTCTCTCTCTCTCTGTATATATATATATATTGGAACATATCAAACTTAGCATCGGCGAGGCACTCTCCGATCCGATGAGCAAGTTTGCGGTTGTGGCCGGTGGCTTCAAGTTCGGGCACCCCCCTTCTGCGCCCGCCGTCGCCCGGCGGTCGCGCGCCGCCGCCCGCTGCGCAGCAGCAGCCCCGCGCGCGCGGCGGGAGATGCTCGGCGCGATGACAGAGCTGCAGAAAGGGGGGCCCGCCCCGCTTCCACCCCGACACCAAGTGCCTATCTTTCATGGGCAGACACGTTGTTCCTGCCCCTGGATGGGCATATGACACGCCATGCTAGAGGGGGGGCGTGATCGCGGGGCCCCCAGAGGGGCCCTTCCGGCCCGGGGGATCTCTGATCACGCAGCCGCGACGGCGCGTTTCCAGGCGCGGGAAGGGCCCGAGCCGGAGGACTGGCCCACCCCGAAATATATGTTCCACGCGGATGATCGACCGAGGCGGGCCCCGCGGAACGCCTTTCCTTTCCTGAGCTCCACCAGCGCCGCAAGGACTTGTCGACAGAGGCGGCCAGCCACGCGACGCCGACGAATGCCCCCAATCCCCAAGCAGCCGCGATCGTCGTCGGCCAGGCCCACGGCGATCAGGAACATGGCTCGCGTCTTTGTTCGCCAGGGCGTCTCGCGAGGAGCTAAGTTGCACCGCCCTCACTTCCTTGCTCGCGAGATGGCGTCGGCCAAATCCCTCGCGCGGAAGGCCGCGTTGAACGACCCCGCTCAGTTCTCTATGTTGCCGAATCAGATCCAGAGCGAGGTCGCGACGAGACAGCGACGGCGCCTCGCTCGAGCGGCGGACCAGCAGCAGAACGAGATGAAGGAGTGGGAAGGGCGAGGCCGAGGGCCAGGAGTTGCGGCCCAGCACCTCTCTCGCGCGCCGCGGTCGACAGACGGGGCCCGCTGACCCAGCTGAAGGAGGAGGCGCGGCCGTGCGAGACGTATCGACGCCAGCTACATCGGGGGCCTCGGCCCCGCATATGCGAGTCTCAGGAGGGGCGGAGGGGCGTTTCGGCCGCGCCCGTTCAGGCACCTAAAGCTCGCGGAGGCCGCGAAGGCAGTAGCGGCAGAGATCGGCGTCGGGGCGGTGACGCTGCACCAGCTGCGCCTCGCGGGCGCCGGCATCCACGTCGGCGAGAGATCCCGGTCGCTCGAGGGGGCCCGACGCCGGGGCTGCTGGGCACAGGCAAAGGGCACGCACAGACGCGAGCACTGCAGCCGGCCGAGCGCAAAGCACGAGAGGCACCCCGAGGGGCAGCGGAGACTGCGCTATGCGCGCGAGCGCCACGTGCTTCCGATCCTCCCAGGCCTGCCGAACTCCGTTCGGCTCCGCGAGGCGGTGCGGACCCGGCAGGCCCGTGGAGCACTCTGCGGATAGCTCTTCGCGGCTGCCGCCCCGAGCATGTCCCCGCTCGACGTTTCGCGGGCCTCAGAGACCGCTGCGTTGCCGATCTGCGTTCGGGAATTATTTGGACGCCCGAAATGGGTACGGAAAGAATGGGTACAATGCCCAACAGCAGTTCCTGTTCACTTTGAACAGGGTTCGCTGTCCGCGTCGCCGCGGCCTGTGTCCATTCGAGACAGGAGGCCGCCTGCCCAACAGCGGCCGCTGTTGCTTTGGGACAACATTTGTTGTTGGGCATTTTGTACCCATTCTTCCCGTACCCATTTCGGGCGTCCAAGAATTGGGCGCGCTTCGCGAGCAGGCGAGAGCCCTGGCTTCAGACCGAGCAGCCGGCTGGGACACTGCCCGCGACCCAGCCCGGCAGAACCTGCCGGGCCCCAGAGTGGCCTGCGCGGCCGCGCGAGACGCTCGGAGAGGTCTCGATGTTCCTGCCCCTTTAGCGCGATCGCGCCGAGTAGGTTCTGTCGCCCCGGGGGGGGGGGAGAGCTCAGCGCGCCCGGTGCGGACAGTGTCCGGCTCGGAAAGCAGCTGGCCGAGGACGCCATAGGCCTCGTCGCACGCTTTAGCAGTTGAAGACTCAGGCCGTCCTCGAACACCCCCGCACCTCGCGGCTCTGGCTGACCTGGGTGATCCGAGCTGTGGCGAAATCTGCCCCGCGTCCGCCTGCCTGAACTTCATCCGCGCTATAATTCAAGGCCGACTGTAAGGAGCCAGGCTGCTCGACGTTCTGCCGCGCGGAGGTCGACGACCTCCAGCATTCGCGCGGGGGATGCCGCCGCCGTCACAGCGGTGTTCGCCGTGTCGCTCGGGGCGCCCCCCCGCCTCCTGCTCGAAGGGGGGGCCGCCCGCGCCCCCGCTGCCGTGTATCCCTCCCTCCTCCCTCCCTCCCCCCCTCCCTCTTCCTCCTCCTCCTCCTCCTCCTCCTCCTCTCCTCCTCCTCCTGCTCCTGCTCCTCCTCCTCCTCCTCCTCCTCCTCCTCCTCCTCCTCCTCCTCCTCCTCCTCCTCCTCCTCTAGCGGCCTCTAGCGTCGCTGTTTTTGGGGGCGCAACGAGAGCTCCCCCCCCCTTTCCCAAAGCGAGCGAACCCCCGCATTCGAAAAGCGGAGAGGAGCGAGAGCAGCGCATGTTTTAAAACATCGGGCCTGGACGTTTCGAGGCTTTCGTCATACGATTTCCTGGCAGTGGGGAACTGGCAATAGTTCTTTTGTCCTCGAAAGGCTCGAATTTCCGTATCTTTGAAAATTGTAGTGTGTCCAAGTGTACCAAGTGCGAATGATCCAAGGGTTTAATTAAGCATCGGAATGCCGATGCTCTCACTTTGCGTCCCTCTCCCTCCTTTTATCGCCTGCGTTCGGCTACCACCCGTCCGTATTGGGAGGAGTGAGAATAGGTCATTGGTTGTAATTTTTGGCTTGGACGTTCCGAGGCATTCGTCTGATCATGTCTCAGCAGTTAGAAAAACGTGACTATGTTGATGGCGGCGGTTGGGTGATCACTACGACGGCACGACGACCATGGTAAAGATGTTGAAAGACGATAGCGGTGATGTTGATGATGATGATGATGATGATGATGATGATGATGATGATGATGATGATGATGATGATGATGATGATGATGATGATGATGATGACAATGGTGGCGCCGACGGTGGCGATGATGACTTTAGTGATGATGATAAGGATGGCGTTGACGCTGGTGATGACGACGAGGATGAATTGTGCGCCGCGTTCCATTACTCTGCGAGACAATGCGTTGGGAAGCGAGTGATAGTCATACGAGTGTAGACACCGCAGTGCCGAAATCTTCAGGGAACCAATGATTTGGGAAGGGTTTCGTCGTGCGCGCGTGGAGGCGCGCACGCGTAGTCAGCATTGCACTATCTCACAAAAGTGCCTGGTCCGCGATGAGTACTGAATGTGTCATGCATGCGCGCGCATGTGGCCCGCATGGCGCTCGTTCGACAGAACGTAAAAATGCATTGTTTCCCAATGGTGTCAGCAAGTGTGCACGCAGACGTCTTACAAAGGTTCCTTGACAACCGTTGTGCTGACGAGAATGACTTGGCAGGGAAGGGGAGGAACCGATACCGGCCTGGCTGGCATAGCAGCTACATCATGTTTCAAATTAACAATCGTGCCCAGCAGGTGTCAAAACACAGTGCACGGAGGGGAGGGGATACACCCAGATCCAGTTCGGGGGAGTGTAATTCTTTGTGGGACAATCTATACATATATGATATGCAATTGATGCGTTTACTCAAAATGCGTGCACATGTAAAAATACATGAGCATGTCTTGTGTGTGCGTACGGGGTGCAGCCTGTGGGATGGTGACCCAATGCCCAGATCGCGTGACCCACCCCGCGACCCACAGCGCGCCTCACCGCGAAATCCAGCGGCGCCGGACCAACCGTTTAGCCGACCTCCTTCCGCGCAACCCACCGCGCAATTTACCACAGCCGCCGGATCCCCGCAGCCCGCCCATCGGCATTGGCGGGGATTTCATGGCGCCAGCGTTTGGAAACCGACGGCCAGGCCCAGCTTATCACAACAGAAGCAAGATCTGTTCAAATCATTAGCGTTGTATGGAGAATGTTCTGGAATAGTCAGGGCCAGCGTCATCAAGCTCAAGGGGGGAGCTAGGACATGGGGCCTCAGGCGGCAGGCCAGAAGACAGTTGCATGCGCACAGAAGTCATAAGATTATTCGACGCGGAGATCCTCACATGTGCGAAGTCTGTCTGTGAGCATCTGGGTGTGAGGCGAGTCCGCGTAGACGACGGGCGCGACGACGACGACAGCGACGACTGCTGTGACGTCCTCCTCCTCTTGACATTTTTCAGGAGAGGTGAGAGAAACAAACATGAAGAGCGAGGGAGCATTGAACAATCAACACAGAGAAGACTGTGAGTGAACCTCAGCGTGAGTGATCTGAGTGTGAGTGAGTTTGAGTTTGAGTGAGCCGAGGGATGATTGACTTTGTGTGTGAGTGAGTCTAGGTTGAGCAAGCCTAAGTACGGGTGCGTTTGAGTACGAGTGAGTCTGAGTGTGGGTAGGTCTGAGCGTGAGTGAGTCTGAGTGTGCGCAAGTCTGAGCGTGAGTGGGTCTGAGTATGAGTTTGACGAGTCTGAGTTTGAGTATGTGTGAGTCTGAGTGTAAGTGAGTCTGAGTGCGAGTGAGTCTGAGTGAGTGCGTGTGTGTGTGAGGGAGTCTGGGTACGAGTGAGTCTGAATGTGAGTCAGTGCGTGACTGAATATCAGTGCGAGTGGTCTGAGTGTAACTGGGCCTGAGTGCGAGTGAGTCTGAGCCTGAGTGAGTCTGATTATGAGTGGGTCTGAGTGTGAGTGGGCCTGAGAGTGAGGAAAGAAGACGAGGGACGTGAGGAAGTGCGAATGATCTGAGTGTAAGCGCTTTGAGTCTGAATGAGTCCGAGTATGAGTGAGCCCAGAAATAAGTAAGTTAAAATGTGAGTTAGTCTAGCTCTGAGAGAGCCTGAGTATGAGTGAGTATGGGGATGAGCTGGCTTGAGTGCGAGTGGGTCTGAGTGTGGGCACGAGTGTGAGCAAGTCTGAGTGTGAGCGGGTCTGAGGTTGAGTGACGAGTCTGAGTCTGAGTATGAGTAAGTATGGGTGTGAGCGAGTCTGAGTGTGAGCAAGTCTGGGTGTGAGTGGGTCTCAGCGTGAGTAAGTCCGAGTGTGAGTGAGTCTGAATACGGGTATGATGTATGTGGACCTGACTATGGGTGGGTCTGAATTCGAGTAGGTTTGCCTATGAGTTAGCCTGAGGGTTGGCGAACCCGAATGAGGGTATATCCAAGTGTGAGTCCGTCTCAGTGTGAGTGAGCCCGAGTGCGAGCGAGTTTGATTGTGAGTGGGTTTGGGTACGAGTGCGACTGGGTACGAGTGGGTGTAAGTATGGTTGAGTATGAATGTGATTGGTAAGAGAACCTGGGCGCGAACGGGCCCGTGTCATACTTCCTGGCGATTCCCCCTTGGGGCGTTGAAACCAGCGCCTCGCATAAGACATCCTCGCCATCTGCTCCGAAAGCACAGGATGTTGGCCAGCCAAACAGGCAAACCACCTGAGCCACCCCAACAATCTAGGCACGAACAGGCCCGTGTCATACCCCCGTTGCGACTCCCCCTTGGGGTGCTGAAACCAGCGCCTCGCGTGAGGCATCCTCCAACATAGGCAAGCCGCCTGAGGCATCCCCACAATCTGGGCGCGAACGGGCCCGTGTCATACCCCCTGGCGGCTCCCCTGTTGGGTGCTGCAATCAGCGCCTCGCATCAGACATCCCCACACTCGGCTCCGAAGGCAAAAGATGTTGGCCACCAAACAGGCGCACCCCCTGAGACATCCCCATGGCCTGTGTGCGAACGCGCCCGTGTCATACCCCCTGGCGGGCCCCCCCCCCTGGGGTGCTGAAACCAGCGCTTAGCTTGAGACATTCTCATCCCCTGGGCGCGAACCAGGTTCTGACTGTGAGTGAGTCTGGGCGTGAGTCTGAGTACGAGCGAGTCCAAGCGTGAGTGAGTCTAGGTGTGAATGAGTCTGAGTTTGCGTGTGAGTGAGTCTAAGTGTGAGTGAGTCGAAGTGTGCGTGTGAGTCTGAGTATGAGTGAGTCTGATTGTGAGTGAGTCTGAGTGGGTGAATCTGAGTGTGAGTGACTCTGAGTGTGAGTGAGTCTGAGTGTGAGTGAGTCTGAGTGTGAGTGAGTCTGGGTATGAGTGGGTCTGAGTACGAGTGGGTCCGAGTATGAGTGGGTCTGAGTATGAGTGAGTCTGGGTGCGAAGGAGGAGGAGGAGGAGGAGGAGGAGGAGGGAGGTGAGGGTGAGTCAGGCGTCGGCGTGGTCTGGATCTTAGAAGATGGGGAGCACAGCGGCCCCAACACCACAGCATGCAGCCCAGCCGCCCTCTCCGGTGACAGCCAGAGGGACGCAGGCGGCGCGCTGCGAAGCCGTGGGGTCGCAAATGGCAGCGAAGGGCCTGCCCCCCGCAACCAGGCCTTGCCAGCTGGCACTGCAGAGCGCGAGGGCGGGGCGCCCAGCTGCGGCAGCAAGAATAGTGCTTGGCCCGCTCGCGCACTTGGCGCTGCAGCAGCAGCAGGGGCGCTCGACGAGAGAGCTGACGCTGCCGCAGGGCCTCTTTCGCCGGGGGAGTGGCACCTCCTCAGTGGAGCCAGGGGCAGCGTCAGCCGTGACTCCAGGCACTCGCGCGTTGCCATCGCTGATTGCCTGGCTCGTCCCGGAAATACAGAAGAGATCATCCGAGTGTTGGGTGTGCTAGCAGCTTCTGTGTTGCCAACGGTTCCCTGGACGACGCCTCTGACGATCTCCTGGAGCTGGCCCCACAACTGGTCACGCACTGCTGCGTCGTCGCACTTGCTCTGGCAGAGACTTCATATCCCTCGGCCTCGAAGTGCCTGTCCACATCAGTCCTCGCGGCACGTGTGCCCGGTGCAGCGACAGCTGGGGATCGCTTCGCAGGCCTCGAGATTGACACCAACACCAATATCGGCGGCGTGCCTCCACCGAGGGATGAGGATTCCGGCCTCGGGGATGGTGGTAATACTTTGGCTTTTCCAGGGTGGCCGAAATATGACCACCAGCACCGAAATCTGGGATCACCTTCCCCCTGTGGAGGCAACCCTCTGTGTTGAGCTGCGTTTTTTTTCGGGTTGAAAGGGTTTTTTTTCTGGTTGGCGCGCTGCGGAGGCCCCAACCCGAAAAAAAACCCAACCCGAAACAAAAACCGGATGGCGAGTTTCTTTATGGGTTGGGAGGGTTTTTTTTCGGGTTGAGAGGGTTTTTTGGGGGGTTGGGTTTTTTCCGAAAAAAAACCCTTTCAACCCGAAAAAAAACCCAGCTCCTCTGTGTTGGTGTTGGTGCCAATTTCCAGGCCTCCCATCGCTGCACCTCTTGACACGCCAGCGGCGAGCTCGGCCGCCGAGCTCCGGCACGCGGAGAGTCGGCAGCCCCCCCGGGCGCCTGTGGATGCCCTCGACGGCTGCCCGAACGTTCGGCGGCCCGGGCGGCGGCATATGCGGGCCCAGCGTGGCGAGCTCGGCCTCGACCTCCTCCTCCTCCTCCTCCTCCTCCTCCTCCTCCTCCCTCCTCCTCCTCCTCCTCCTCCTCCTCCTCCTCCTCCTCCTCCTCCTCCTCCTCCTCCTCCTCCGTCGTTTCCTCCCTCGTGCTCCAAAGCGGCGGCCCACGCGGCATGCGGGCCTCGACCAGGGCCTGCTCGAGCTGGACACGGTCGGTCTCTCACGAGGGAGGGCGCGCCGCTGCAGTGGCCCCCCATGGGCCAAAAAAAAACCCTGCGCGAGGGCCTCCGGGTTCTTCTTGCCGCGGCTGTGATCGGTCGCCTCCTCGGCGAGAGTAGTGAGCTGCTGCAAAGCAGGAGGGAGGAGGAGGAGGAGGAGGAGCAGGAGCAGGAGCAGGAGCAGGAGCAGGAGCAGGAGGGTGAGGAGGAGAAGCAGAAGGGGGAGGCAGACGGGAGAGGAGGACGAGGAAATGGGAGTGGAACAAATGGGTGCGCTTGTTCCATATTAGCCTTGCTTAGTTGTAGTACTATGTTTGTTTTGCTGGCATTGCTCATTCCATTCGTGTGGCGCGCTGACTTACACATCACATCCGTCATTGGTTGCGTATTGATGTTTACTTGTGCATCCTCTTCCTTCTCCCCACCCGGGAGGCCAGGCATCCAGTAAGATCGATTTGGCCAATGTTCGATTCTCGCTTAGAACCGAACCGAATTTCCTCCTCCTCCTCCTCCTCCTCCTCCTCCTCCTCCTCCTCGTTGCCCTCCCGCTGACCTCAAACGTGCTGAATCGACCGCCGCTCCTCCTCCTCCTCCTCCTTATCACCGCCCTCCTTGTCATTGTTACCCTCCCTTTCCGTCGCCGACATCAGTCTCACCAAGCTCCTCCCCGTCGATGTCCCGCGCGCCAGCTCCATCTCCAGCAGCTTCCCAGACGGAGCCAGCGGAGGCCCTCCCCCCGGGCCAGCGGTCTGGGGGCCCCCGGCTGCACGCTTCCGGCGGCGCGCCACGGGAGAAAAGGGGCGACGGCGGGTGGCCGTCTGAGAGCTGAGGGGGCTCGGAAGGCGGAAGGACTTCTGGGGAGCCCCCGATGGCTTCCTGGAAGGGCCCCCCCTCGAACCGCCTCTGACACGCACCCGCGGAAAAAAAACACCAGCCCCCCGGAACCCCTCCCCGCGGGGCCCATCCCGGTCGCGTCTCCGAGCTGCGCCCGGCGGCCGCGCAGACGAGGAGGCCCCCCCTGCAGGAGGCCACCTCGGCGACGCCGCCGAGGCTGCCCACCCTCGGCGCCCCCCCCCCCCCCCCCAGACCCCCGACGTAATGATTTTTTCGTTACGTCGACCCCCAGAGGTCCCGACCCTTTCCCCATGACCTGCTTTGCATCCTGAGTCGTTTTTTGACGCTCCCGAGGCCCGGTGAGGGCCCCCAGAGGCCGAAAACTAGGAAAAACCTCCCGTCATGATTTTTTCATTACTCGAGGGGGTCTGGGTCCCGCGCCGCCACCCGGCTGCGCCGCCAGCCAGCCGGGGCGCATGGCGACCGCCGGGGCCTCGCCCTCCCTCGGCGCGGCGCGCGGGGCCGGCGCCGCCCCCGGAGGCTTCGGCCCGCCCGCCCGCCGCCACTCCCGGTCTCGGCGGTGCCAAGGCGGGGGAGGGGCCTGCCAGCTCCCGAGGAGCCCAGACCCCCTCGAGTAATGAAAAAAACATGACGGGAGGTTTTTCCCAGTTTTCGGCCTCTGGGGGCCCTCGCCGGGCCTCGGGAGCGTCAAAAAACGACTCAGGATGCAAAGCCGGTCATGGGGAAAGGGTCGGGACCTCTGGGGGTCGACGTAATGAAAAAATCATTACGTCGGGGGTCTGGGTCCCGAGGAAGGGGGGGGCGCGGGGGAGCGGGGCGGGGGGCCGTGGGCAGGCTCTTCCATCATGTTGTTTTTTGTCCGCACCCCCGGAGGGCCAGGACCCTTTCCAGCAGAGTTAGAGTCCAAGAGCTCGCCGGGGGCTGCACAGCGGCGGTATTGATGCCCCGATCGGCCTTCTGTGGGCAACGTTCAGGATCGGGGGCCGATTCGACAGAATAGCAACAGATACGATCCCTCAGGAGCCCCCAGTTCCCCGCAAGACCACCGAACATGTGAAATCAAGTGTTTGATCTTTGATCATCTCTCCCCCGTCTCGACCCTCGACCAGGAGGGTCACCACCCCTCCCCGGGGACCATTGATGGAGGCGGAGGGAGGATCGAGGATCGACGAAACCGTTTGAAGCGCTTGAAGTGTTGGAAGTTTCTCATGGTCGTCCTCCCTCAGCGAGGCCAAGCATTCCGTTGCGCTCGATGTGAGGCCTTGGTGCAGAAGTTGCAAAGGAGTTGCTCTTTCGCTGGATCGAGAAGGAGGAGGGTATAGGTCCGAATAGATGTTAAAGATCATGTTTAAATTTGTTGGGGATGACTTGGGGGGTAATTGGAGGCTCTTGTCCCCCCATCTCCAGAGGAGGCGGCGGCCGTCTTTTTATGGGAACCCCCTTTGGCATTGGCTGAGAACAACACCGTCGAAGCAGTTCGGTGGACAAAACTTCATGACCTCTTCTGATGGTTCGGGGCCGCCCAGGGACCCGCGGGCGTCACCGATACTCGGAGAGGCCCCCGAATCGGGCACCAGAGGTCCAGGGAACGAGATCCAAGCCAGCTCCGAACCGAAATCCAGTGCAGCCTTTATCCCTCATCCTCACCCCTCCCCTCCTCCCTCATCCCTCATCCCTCCCTCCCTCCTCCTTCTCCTCTCTATCCCTTCTCCCCTCTTCTCATCATCCTGCCTTTTCCTCCTCCCTCTCCCTCCTCCTCCTGCTCCTCCTCCTCCTCCGCCTCATCATCATCATCATCTCCAGTATCCAGTCCCAGTCGACAGCGCCCCGCGTCCCCCCTCCCAGAGGCACTTCACGCCCCCCCCCCCCAGCGCGTCTGCGCCCGACAGGCCCCCCGCGCATGCGCGCCCTAGGCCCGTAATGGTTAAAACATAGTCTAGGGACGATTTGTCTTTGTTTGCTATTTGGGAGTATTATTGTTGGTGGTATTTGGGTTGTACACCGCGCGCGACCTGCGGTCATTGTAGCTGCTCGTGCGGCTCCGCCCCGCCCACAGCCCCGCGGCAGCGGCCGCTGCCTGTCCGGGCCGGCCGCCCCTCTCGCCGCTGGGCACGGCCCCTGACAGGCACGACCGACGCCCCCGAGCGCGGCCTCGTCGCCGCTTGCGACCCTTCCCGGCTCCACGCGAGCTCGCCCACCCAGCAAGTCTCCAGACGCTTTTCTCCTCCTCCTCCTCCTCCTCCTCCTCCTCCTCCTCCTCCTCCTCCTCCTCCTCCTCCTCCTCCCCCCTCTTTATCGTTCCTCTCCTCCTCCTTCCTCCTCCTCCTCCTCTCCTTCCTCTCTCCTCCTCCTCCTCCTCCTCCTCCTCCTCCTGCGCTTGCCAGCACGAGCCCACCGACCCGGTCGCATCCTCCCCCAGCGACGCACCTCCCCCAGCCCAGCACAGCCTCGGGACTGCTCTCTAGGCTCGGAGGCAGCCCCGACCCCACGCCCGGAGCACGGCGCTGCGAGCTGCGACCGCGCGGCCCCACGGCCCACCACCGAGCGACCCACGGACCTCGCCGACCTCGGCCAACGCGAGCGGCAGCTCCTCCATAGCCAGTCTGGCTCACGCAATTCTGGCTGAGGTTCTCGTCGCATGCCTCCTGCTTGTTCCGGGCCAATTTGAACAAGGACGGCTCTCGCCTCATCAAGCAGTACGTCGAAAGTTGTTGGTAGGTATGGTTGCGGCCGGATTGAATCACACAAGTCTGATCAAGAGTGATGGTCGAGCGGTGGCATTTGGCGACAATCGTTGTGGAGAGTGCGATATCCCAGCGCCAGAAGCAGGGATGACCTACACGCAGGTAGCGGCAGGATTTGAGTGCACACTTCTCAAGAGTGATGCCACAGCTGTGGCTCGTGGTAGTAAAAAGTGTGGTAAATGTGACGTTCCAACCTTGAATGCAGGCTTGAGGTACACACAAGTGGCTGCAGGGGACAACCACACACTCCTGCTCAGAAGCGATGGCACGGTTGTGGCACTTGGGGACAACCACGTGGGGGCAGTGCGACTTTCAGGCCTAAACGCAAGTTGTTGCAGGATTATTCCACACAGTCATGCTCAGAAGTGATGGTTCAGCCGTGGCTTGTGGTGACATGGATCATGTAAAGTGCGATAGTCCAGATCTTGCTGGAGGCATCGCATACACTCAAGTTGGTGCGGAAGACAGTCACACAGTTCTGTTCCAAAATGAATGTTTAGTTGTGGTTTGTGGCGCAAAATATTTCGGGCAGTGTAGTCTTCCAGCTCCATCCAACGTACACACAGGTTGCTGCAGATTTTGGTCATACGGTTCTGGTACAGAGCGACGGAACATGTGTGGCGTGCGGGGACAGTCGCCGCGGACAGTGCGACCTTCAGCGTTGGACGACGGCTTGACTTGCATCCACGTTGCTGCAGGATTCCAGCACTCGTTCCTGTGTCGAAGCGATGGCACAGCCGTGGCTTGCAGTGACACTGCATTCGGTCAACTCGACGTCCCATGGCTCCCGAATCGGACGGTGTGGTCTGCATTGGACCCCAGGCACTTTCGCTACGCATCGTTATGTCTGTACACGTTGCATGGCACGTCGATCAAGTTCGTCACTCCGGGCGGGGAGAAGCTCTGGCAGATAGAGGAGGTCCAGGTGGCCGACGACTGTATGGGGAACATGTTGCTCCGGATGTCGACCATGTTCTCGGGAGCGTTGGGCATGAAGGCCTGGAAGTCCGACGTCCTCTTCTTGGGAAGCCGTCATGGGGCCCTCTTGGGGGCTTCTTGGGCCCTCTTAGAGCGATCTTGGAAGCCTCTTGAGCCGTTTTGGACGTTGCTACGACCAAGAGTTCTGACAAGTAACAATCTGCGCTATCCCTAGGGACTGGGGGCGAATTCTGCTTCCGCAGCTCGAGCTAGCTCAGAGGCCGCGGAGTGCGGATCTGGAGTCCCCAGAAGGCCTCGGACGGCCCCCACCTCCCCCCACCCTTGGCACGGGATGCTGGGCCCCAGGGGCGGGGGGAAGGGAGGACGGGGGACAGCCAACTACCTCGCACGCCTGTCCACCCGGGCAAGCCAGGGTCGTCGGACTAAAGCAGTACTCAACATTCGGCTCGTTCTCTCGCATCGGTGGTCTCTCTCTCTCTCTCTCCCTCTTGTCTCTCTCTCTCTCTCTCTATGTCCCTCTCTCCCTCTCTCTCTCTCTCTCTCCTCCTGCGTACAAGCACAGATCGAGGAGAACGAGGGGCCATGTGCGGGGGCGGATATCGGAGACGCTGGATGAGCTTTTGAGTGTTGCGCGTGATGCGTTGTTTGCCTCAGGGCGCCTCACGCTTTCAAGAGAGGCTTGCGCCCTCTGCCTCGTGTTGTTGCGAGACGCACGCCTGCTCGCGTCCATCCCGGAGGTTTTTGCGAGCGCCGGAGGGCGGGCAGCTGAAGAGGTTGCGAGCACTGTGACGCCCGCAATTTGGCTCCACGGGCCTCATCCAGCCGCGCGCACCAAGAATTTAGAGAATCTGATTCGGAGTGTTGGTTTGGATCTGTTAGGGGATCCTTCGGTTCAGTCGGCTGCTTCTCGGCCCCACGCGAGTAGGCGCGTCGCGCTGGACAACGACTGTGCAGTAGGAGTCCGAGGGCAGATGTCTCCAGAGCCTGCGCTGATTCGGTTGGGCATGGCCGAAATGCCATGCCAGCAACTTTGTGTCATCGTGGTGACCTTGCTCATTGTGCTAGAGGTGTGTGTGTGTGTGTGTGCGTGTGCGTGCACTGGACGCGCACACATCTCGCGCTGTTCGAGCGTGCTGATCCCTGCCACCGCCGGTCCAGCGAAGCATGTAACTTTCCGCGTCGACGAGGCGCCGTGCGAGCCGCACCGCGGTGGCCACTCCGCCTGCCGCACCCCCCTGGAGGAGGAGGAGGAGGAGGAGGAGGAGGAGGAGGAGGAGGAGGAGGAGGAGGAGGAGGTCGAGGAGGAGGAGGAGGAGGAGGAGGAGGAGGAGGAGGAGGCCATCGCCTCGCCCGCCCTAGGGGCGCCCGCACGCACCGCGTCGGCTGGCACCGACGCGTTGGCCCCGCCCGCGGTCTTCGGAGGCCCGCGCGCGGCGCGCTCGCGGGCTGGGCGCGGCGGCCGCGCGCCGTGCCGCGGGCGCCCCTGGCGATTTTTCAGACGCCTCGATGCTGTAGGCAACTGTGCCTCACGATTTCCTCCTCCTCCTCCCCCTCCCCCCTTCCTCCTCCTCCCTCCCTCCTCCTCCTCTCCTCCTCCTCCTCCTCCTCCTCCTCCTCCTCCTCCTCCTCCTCCTCCTCCTCCCCCTCCTCCTCCCCCTCCTCCTCCCTCCTCCTCCTCCTCCTCCCCACCTCCTCCTCCCTCCTCCTCCTCCTCCTCCTCCTCCTCCTCCTCCTCCTGACAACTCGGATGACATGCAGAAAATGAACACCGTCTCTCACAAAAATGAAAGAGTGCAAAGAATTATTGGGTCGCCCCTCGGATCTTTCGCCCGGACGCTCCCAGGGGCATGCGGCAACGTGGCCGCCCTTAGGTCTGCGCATCCGATCGTTTGCCCGCCGGTGCCCCGCGGCAGCCAGCGGGCTGGCCTCGCCTGTCGGGGGCGCCAGGGCAGGGCTCAGCAACAACTGGGGTCAGCCAATCCCCTCTGGTCCCCTCTGGCACTGACCCTGGCTTGGCTTCGGGGCCATCCGGGGTCGGAGCCCCCCCCTCTGCGGAGGCTCTAGGGCTTGGCTGGCAGATGATGGACCCCCCTCTCCACATACCTGACCGTCACCCGCGGGCAATGTCCATTGGCTCCAACGCCGCGCCGGCGTTGTCCGTGCACGGTTGAGGCGCCGGGACTTTGCCGTGCCCTTCGGGGACGGCGCTATCCATCTTCAGCTCGCCGAGCAGACGCGTCACGACACGGCCCTCGACATCATCCTCTGGTTTCTCTGGCTCTCGGAGGTCATCGAGTTCCAGGTGCGACGCCGATCGAGAACCACCTCCGCTTCGGCACATCGCGCGTTTCCAGCACAGCCGCATGCTCAAGCGGTCCGGCACGAGGTCGAGGCACATGTGGGCGGCGGCTGGCAGCAATTCCTGCTCCTTTCGGGCCGCATTCGCTGTCGGCTTCTGGGCGAAGGTGACCCGCCCCACGGCGAACAGCGCCTGCCCAGCAGCAGTCGTTGTCCATGTTGGGATGCACTTGCTGATGGGCATCGTCCCACTGGCTCCGTCCCTACCGTGGGCGTGGAAAGGGAAGCTGGCACCGTTTCTGGTCCCCGCCTGCGCGCGCACGCGACTGCACGTGCAAGCCTGGCTCGGCATCGTTGTGCTTCGGGCCTCGCTTGGAAGCTGGCACAGGCTTGTTAGGACAAACGATTGTCGATCGCTGCCCCAGTCGTGTTCTTTTCCGGCGTGCTCGTATCCTGCAAGAGTGCTCTCGCCTGCGAACCGTCGTTTAGGAGGGAACAAAAACACACAGGCACAAGTAATCGTCGACCCTCCAGAAAATATGGGAAAATATGGGAAGTGGGGGGGAAGACGAAAACCCCCAAAACAGGGGAAAATCATGGGCATCTTTTTATCTGTGCGTGTTTATTTGCGTGCCCGGGGGCCCCCTTTAGAAGACGGGGCCGCCGCCGTCGCAGAGCAGGCTTCGGCGCCGCGGCCGCCCCCCGGCCAGCCACCCAGGCCGCTGCGCAGGGAGGACAGCGCTGCCGCGTCTCGCGGGCGCTGGGGGTGGAGTGGGTGGCGTGCGGGCAGTCCGGGGCAGGCCGGGTGGGAGAGAGTGGGGAGGGGGAGGGGGTGGAGGGGAGGGGGGGGGGGGATGGAGACAGGAGGGGGGAGGAGCGAGGGGGGGGAGAATCCGGGCCCCCTGGATGGGGTCGAAGTAGATGGGGTCGGAGGATCGCGGATGCATCGCCGATGCATCGCCGATGCGGCTCGATGTGCAGCCCGATTCGCGTCACGTCGACGTCGCCGATGCATCGCCGATGCATCGACGATGTATCGCCGATGTATCGGCGATGCGGCGCGATCCTCCGACCCCATCTACTCCGACCTCATCTAGGTGGCCTCGAGAAGGGGGAGGCGGGGAGAGAGATGAGGGGAGAGGGGTGGCGACCTGGAAGGAGAGGAGGGCGAGGGAGAGGCATGGGCGAGGAGGCGTGCAGAGGGGGGAGGGGCAGGAGGAAGGGGAGCTTCTTTCTCTCTCTTGTGACTGTGAGCTGCACCCCTCCGATGAGGAGGAGCAGGAGAGCGGCGACGAAGAGGGGCTGGGCCAGAGCGAGATGTGGTGAGACAGCCGCGGGCCGAGGTTCCTTGCCAGTCCGCGAGGGCCCTCGGGCCTGGAGCGGGTCTTGTGGCAGACGTTCGGCCACGCCGCTGTTCGCAGTTCTGCCTGGGGTGCCCGGGGGAGTCTTGGGCGAGCCCGCCGCCCTCGCGGCCTCGCAGGACGAGACGTCGCGGAACAGGTGCGACAGGCGGTTCTGTTCACAATCCCTGGGGCAGCGGCCTTTTTCCAGGGCCCCGGGAACTGAGAAGACAAACGACCCGCGGCGAGAATTGGACTGCCGAGGGTTCTGGGGACCGTACGCTTCATGAAAGAAAGCATGGGCCGCCAGCGGGCGCGCCCGAGGAGGCCTCCTCGCGGCTGCAGAGGAGAGGCGGGCGGCGCTGAGGGGCGTGGCGGCGCTGTTCCAGCAGCCGGAGGCGCTGGGGGTCTCCAGGCGCGTGGGCTCTCTTTGGGGGAGGAGTGGGCCATCCTCCTGCTCCCTCCCCAGACCCCCTCGAGTAATGAAAAAATCATGACGGGAGGTTTTTCCTAGTTTTCGGCCTCTGGGGGCCCTCACCGGGCCTCGGGAGCGTCAAAAAACGACTCAGGATGCAAAGCCGGTCATGGGGAAAGGGTCGGGACCTCTGGGGGTCGACGTAGTGAAAAAAACATTACGTCGGGGGTCTGGGTCTCCTCCTGCCCCCTGTTGGACTCGGCCCGGAGAGGTGGGGGCTCCACCCCGACCCGAATCTGGCTGTGGGGTGGAGCCGTGGGGGGCCAGAGGGCCCTTGGCCGTCGGGAGGGGGGGGGGGGGGCGTGGGCGGCCAAAACCGTGCTCCGTTGCGGGCGCTCGGATCGGCAGCCCGAGCGGCGCAGAGGTTGCCCTGGCCGCGGCTCGGACCGCGCGTCGTGCCTCCCGCTTTCGGCCCCCGCCTCCCCGCTGCCGCGCGTGGCACGCTCCAGCCGCACTGCGCGGCCGGCCGGAACGCGGGGCCGACCCTGCCGTTTCCAAGGGCTCGGCGCACGGGACTCCCCCACGTCGTGCGCCCGATTGATTGCAAAAACCAAGGATTGCAAAAAAACAAAGGATTCCCCAAAAAAACCCTCGAACGAAGGTTTTTTGCAATCCTTCGTGCAAAAAAAAAAAAAAAAGGATTGCAAAAAAACGAAGGTTTTTTGCAATCCTTTGCAACCCCCCCTCCCGCACCCCCGCCCCGGCTTCAGGGGGAGCGGGGAGGGAACGACCCCCTGGCTGGCCCCGACGCCCCTCCGCACTGCACGGCCTCGAGTTTGCCCTGCGGGGCGGGCGCCCCCGGGCAGCGCGACCGCCCCGTCGGCTCGGCCCACGATCTGGCCACGGCTCGGGCCACGGGGGCCCCGCGGAGGCGACCGCCGCCGGCGGCTCGAGGCCCTCGCGAGGCACGGAGGAGGCCACGAGACCCTCCCGTCCAGGAGTCGCGGAGGGTCGCGATGGGCAGATCTGCCACGCTTGGGGCCAGTGCCCCCCCCCCCACCGATCAATCCAGCTCCGACGGTCGTACAACCACCCCCCCTGAAAAAACGCACCGTGTCCCACCACTGAGCTCACATATGCATGCCCGCATTGCCCGCATACGCTGGCTACTTGGGGGAAGTGGGCAACACATATGGCAAAGTACCATCCAGACCCGGACCATGCACGCAACGACGTACAGGATGGATTGTTCAGGGCATGCGGCATGAAACACTATACCAGACTTGGACTACTCATACACTCGACCCGCAGGAAACGAGATTACGCATGTCAGCAGTTATTGTCTAGACCGGCTACCAGATGAAAGAGTATTAGAGTTGGATCAAGTGAGCAAGGATGTTGTTGCTGCATTACGAAGAGAAAGTTGCTATGAAGCGAAAGCCAAGGAACCAACCATCGGATACCATCAGATCGCACCGATGCTACTGCTAGAGAGTGAGAATTGGCAGACCACAAGCCAGAGCCTCCAGAACCACAACAAGTACAACTTGATGAGTATATGGTACGCGTCGCTGATACTACCCCACATTTTTCTGAACGCAAGATATACTGCGTCCTCCACTTCTTCCCAGGCCGCCGAAGAGACCAAGATCTAGAACGCTTCTTTGAGAGAGACTCCAGATCTTCTGTGGAAGCCAGAAGCTTCGACTTCGCAAATTGACCCACATTGAGGAACCTACTACGTTCGGAGGCTAGGACATTCTGGGCAACGTTTATGCGCGCTGGATGAGTAGCAGATATTCATGATGGACCGTCACGTGAAACCTGGGGTTGGGGCGCGTTGGCTAAACCTCGGCATCGGCGCGAATCTGGACCTCGACCACTACGTGACATAGACGAGCCCTGGGGCTACAAATGGCTCAACGGAAGGAAACGACCGCAGATGCGAGTAGGGAGCGGGCTCCAGTGGGCCACCCTAAACTTTGCATTTGAAGCACGACTGCTTCGCATACCAGCGACAGTTTAACACCCTTCCACCCCGACCTGGCGGGCGGGATGCGCTTCGACATGCAGACCCCTGAAGACGAGAGCTCTACTCGCATGCAAGGAAATCAAGATGATCAACTCCGACCATCGCATGTCCGACTGCCACAGCAGTAAGCCCGCGACGCTACGATACGAAAATTGATCCAAGGCATCTACTTTAGTCGGACGAGTGGAAAGCCAAAGGCGTTGCAACCATCGGGAAGGATACCTCGCAGCCCTGGAAATCAGCTGCGCGGGCAATTTCAAACAGTGCCGCTCAGGGGGGGCACGTCCAAAAAATGGGATTGCACCAGCAGCCTCCACGCAGATGCCTGGACCAGACTACTGCATCCCGGAGTAGCCCCAGAGCGCGTGCACAAACAAGTGAAAATCTGCGATGTCAAGCCCGCTACCCAGCGTCAAATATACCGCCGCTGGATATACATTACATGAAGGAGGAGCCCGTCGCACTCACAGAGGTTGCAGATGACGAAGAACAGTGCCAAGTAGCTGTTACAATTGCCGAACCGTCGCACGACTGACCACCAGCGTTCAGGAACAAAGTACGTGACTACCTACGCCACCACCACCACCTGCCTGCACCGCCCGCGTAGACTACGCGCGCATTCCATTTCCAAGGGATGCCACGGGACAGGTCTGCGTATTTCTGTTGGCCGTACGAGTACAATATTATGTTCCGTAGTTGTCCACCTGGCACCTCAGGCACCAGACTGGGCAACCTCCGACCACCCAGGCGCTGCTTCTATGGCGGTCACCATCAAGTACGTCACGACGGAGGTGAACAACAGTACAAAGTGCGGCATCTTCTTCATGGAAGTGGGCATCTACGACGCGGGCGTCACGACGTCGATGCCGACATCTAGTTCGCAGCACGACATCGCCAGCAAGCGCGCCCAAGTTCCTGCCAAAGTACACGCGCAGGTTTACGAGGATCACAACGACGAGGGCCAGACCAACATCAAGATTGGCGATGTCAACGACGCTGCGAAGCACTTCATCCAGCGCCACGCGCAGAGGCTGCTCAGGTTCCACAAGGCCTCGGGTGACTACGTCACGAATACCTAATCCATCGACCGCAGGCCCGGCACGGTCCACGACAAGGCAACCCAGTTGGCAGCCACCAGTCAACCCCACGTCCTCGCCCCGCACAGCTGGCGCACCTACGCGACCGCAGAGATCTACCCGCACATAGCCAACGCGAGGTTCTAGCGCGAGCCCACCGGCGACGTCGCGCACGCCTAGAAACCAACGACGGAGATGTTGCCCGCTGGCGTCTTCAAGATGAACTCGCAGGCCAAGTTATTGAAGGAGAGGTACAACTGCGAGGTGGAGTATCTGGATCAAATCGTGATCTACAAGTTCTGCACGCAGGGCGACATGGCACCCACCACTGCCAACTTGCACCGCGCGCCGCACAAGACCAGCGCTCAGCCGCCCACCACCGCCACCACCTACCTACCCGACCCACGCAGTCTACACGAGTATTTCATCACCAAGGGATGCCACGGGACAGGTCTGCGTATTTCTGGTGGCACGCACGAATGCAAATTCGCGGTCCGCAGTCGTCTCTCTGGCGCCTCGGGCACCAGAGCGGGCAACCTCCGACCACCCAGGCGCCGCTTCGGCGGCGGTCGCCGTGAAGTACGTCGCGACGGAGGTGAACAACAGTACAGAGTGCGATATTTTGGCGGCGTCCTGTTCATGGAAGTGGGCATCTACGACGCGGACCCCGCGACGCCGATGCCGAAAGCAAATTCGCAGCGCGACGCCGCCAGCAAGTGGGCCCAAGTACACGCGCACACATACGACGAGCACAACAGCGAGCACCAGACCTACTGCAAGATCAGAGACTTCAGCGCCGCTGTGAAGCACTACATTCACTACATCCAGCGCCACGCGCAGAGGCTGCTCAGGTTCCACAAGGCCTCGGGTGACTACGTCGCGAATACTTATTCCATCGACCGCAGGCCCGGCACGGTCCACGACAAGGCAACCCAGTTGGCAGCCACCAGTCAACCCCACGCCCTCGCTCCGCACAGCTGGCGCATCTACGCGGCCGTAGAGATCTGCCCGCAGATGGCCAACGCGGGCTTCCAGTGCGAGCCGAGACACTGCGCGCGCCGAGATACAAACGACGGAGAAGTTGCCCGCTGGCTTCTCCAAGATGGGTTCGCAGGCCAATCTCTTCAAGGAGAGGTACAACTACAAGGCGAAGTACGATATCAAATCGTGATCTACAATTTTTGCAAGCAGGGCAACATAGCACCCACTACTGACAATTTGCACTACACGCCGTACAAGACAAGCAAGGCCTACTGTTACTACAACATCTGCATCCGCGATGAAGTCGGCAGATACAGCGAGGAGTGCAAGTGGAACGGCGGCAGCAGCAACGATGACCCCAAGCTCGCGGGACCCTAGGGCACCCTTCTCGCCAACCTCTGCATCGGCGAGCTCCCGCAGGTGGAGGGCGCCGACGCCGCGTGCAGCGCGGGGCCGGCTCGGTCAGGTCCGGGCCGGTTCGGCAGCAGGCCGGCCCGGTTGTAGCAGTCCGGGCTCGGCGCTGATCCGGTCTGCGCCAGTTCGGTTCTGCCTTGGGGCGGTTCGGCCTCGGGCGGTCGGCGGTCGGGGCCGACGGGGTCGGCGGTCGGGGCCGACGGGGCCCCGGGGGCGACGGTCGGGGCCGGCGGGCCCTGCGGGCGGCGGTCGGGGCCGAGGGGGCCCGGGGGCCGAGGGGGCTTAAGGGGGCCCGGGCCAGGTCGCCCACCCTCGAGCCGCGAGGGTTCCGGGGCCCGCTCTCGGGAGGGGCGTGGGGGCCAGGAGTCTTTCAAAAACAGGTGCGTTTAAATGCGACGTCTTACGTTTTTCAGATACGGGAGGCATGTCGGCTTCCAAAGTTTAGGTACGGTGCCAATTTCAGATACGAGTAGATATGTTTAGATCTGTTTAGGTACGGTTCAATGTGGCGCCCATCGCTGGAAAACATGTCTACCAAAAGAGGGGCATGGGGGTCAGAAGTCCAGGCCCGGACCTCGGGTCCGGACCTCAGGTCCGGACCCCCCCCGGGAAGACACGTCTAAACATCGATGTTGTTTGCTCCATTTCTCCAGCGGCTGCTGCCTTCGGAAGGACCGCATGGCATCCAAAATGCCTCCCTGAATCATATGTGTTTTACAGCGCTTTCGTACGGAAAAGTCGATACGAACAGATAAGTTTCAAAATTACTCCAGTGCGACCCTACCTAGGAGTTTGAGCCTCTAGGAAAGCAACATTAGTAGGAGCGGGACACGCCGTCCTCCTCCTTCTCCTCATCGTCGTAGCTGTAGCAGTAGCAGTAGCGGTAGTAGTAGTAGTAGTAGTAGTAGTAGTAGTAGTAGTAGTAGTAGTAGTAGTAGTAGTAGTAGTAGTAGTAGTAGTAGTAGTAGTAGTAGTAGGCGTAGTAGTAGTAGTCGTCGTCGTCGTCGTCGTCGTCGTCGTCGTCGTCGTCGTCGTCGTCGTCGTCGTCGTCGTCGTCGTCGTCGTCGTCGTCGTCGTCGTCGTCGTCGTCGTCGTCGTCGTCGTCGTCGTCGTCGTCGTCGTCGTCGTCGTCGTCGTCGTCGTAGTCGTAGTCGTAGTCGTAGTCGTAGTCGTAGTCGTAGTCGTCGTCGTAGTAGTAGTCGTAGTCGTAGTCGTAGTAGTAGTCGTAGTAGTAGTAGTAGTCGTAGTAGTAGTTGTTGTTGTTGTTGTAGTATGTGTAGTAGTAGTAGTAGTAGTAGCAGCAGTAGCAGTATCAGAAGCAGGAGTAGTAGTAGTAGTAGTAGTAGTAGTAGTAGTAGCCGGAGTAGCAGTAGCAGTAGCAGTAGCAGTGGCGGTAGCAGTAGTAGCAGTAGCAGTAGCAGTAGCAGTAGCAGTAGCAGTAGCAGTAGCAGTAGTAGTAGTAGTAGTAGTAGTAGTAGAAGTAGTAGTAGTAGTCGTAGTACTAGTAGTCGTAGTAGTAGTAGTAGTAGTAGTAGTAGTAGTAGTAGTAGTATAGTAGTAGTAGTAGTATAGTAGTAG